ACACTATGGTTTTGACAATTGGTTTGCTCCCCGACCCCCCGGCGTGATTCTGGGTGACTCTGTGCTGATTGCGGCGATTCACAGGAGTGCTAAGTATCTTCACCGCCATCCCAAGTGTAAGTCTTCCCACTTACTGTTTAACTCTCTATCAGCGCAAAATTTCTAATGAAGCTTTTAGGCGATTTACACTGGTGGGAAGATCAGGAAGGAGGACCTTATGTTCTTAAAAGGTCTGGGTAGTACAAAGCGCAACATACCTTCAGCCCCAAATCTGACTGAGATAAAATTCGTTAGTCGGCAGTAGCTTGAAGGGCAGTGGCGGATTTCGGTACAATGGTTTTTAACGTCTAGCATCATGCTTCCTTCTGCCCGTGGGTGCCCATCGCAGACAGCCCCCTCCGCTCTTCTCCCCCTCGACTTGTTGTAAAAAAGATAATGATCTCCGCGGCACCTTTTTTCTTGTTAATATAGCTATAGAAGCTCGTTGAATTATATACTGTAATAAGATCACGATTTTTGCGAATTGATGAACAGGTCCGCTCTTCACTGGCTCAGATGATTCGAGTAAAGATCTCGGGATCGGAGGAGCACATACCAAACTTGACCATTCAGGCTGATGCTAACAGCAAGTGATAGCTCGTGACGCTATCAGTCGCACAGTACTTGAAGCGCTATTAGCCGCTCATTGTCCTACCTACGGGTACCTTCCTCCTTCCAAACCCCGACATTAGAAGCAGCGTGTACCACCGCAGCTTGCCACTGTGCAGTTGAGGGGGAATTCTGTCAAACAGCTGCAGGTGAGTTCCGAGTCAGTTTTAGTCACTTGCAAGTGACCGGAAATATGAAGCCGAACACAGGGGGGGTCAAAACTTCGCAAATTATCAGTGCGCGTCTGAGCGCCCACACTAAATTCAGACTACTCAAAAAAAAGGTTCGGGTTCTTTATGCCGGGTATGATACTTTTTTGATTTCTTGATTATTTTTTTTGTGTGTGTAGTGGCTTTTTCTCGTTTCTTCTTCTACACCAACCGAGTACTGTACGAGTACAGTACAGTACCGGTACTGCATGTCCAACTCATCTGTGCTACCAATTGTAATGGCAATTGGGTAAAGCGTGAGCGATGAGCTGCGGTGCTAGCACTTGTACACAATCTATATACCTGTAGCAGGAAAGAAGCACAGAGATTAGCAAAATACTCGTATATAGCAAAAAATCCGTGTTTTTGCATATCAATGCCTGCAGCGGAGTATCGGAAGCATTTCGGAATGATAGATATGATACACTCTTCTTTTCTTTTCCTTTTTTTAACTCTTTCAATCGCCTAGGGCCTCAACACTGCCACCAATTATTACGACCGCTAATAGAGAGCAAGCCGCCCGCTTACCTGCCCCCCTCTGTGCTTAGTAGTGAGTCAATGGCCTTGTGTCGCCACAATGGCACGAAAATGTGTTTGTACGATGCTGTACTTAGTAACCGTTAACTGGGAAAAAAGAAGACTACAGGACGAGAACGTCCCGTTTTTGCATATCATACAGCTGCCTCGTTACCGGTAGCTCCCGGTTGGTCTAGGCAGGGTGGTTCAAAGGGCCGAATGGGGGATAGTTGGCTGTCTCGCTACTGTAGTTGGATGGCTTGGAGGAAATCAAACCTGAGCCGCCGGTTGGTGTTGCGACCGAACTTGGACAATTCGTCCTGGGTGACAGGCCCGATTCAGTCATTCCCTGTCAAATTTAGGGAGAACACCACCAAAAATAGACCATTTAAGGGTTCCACCTCGGATTTTCTACCAATCGATAAGACTCTCCCCAGCGTACCGGTACCTGAAGAAATTCTCCTAGAGTGTACAGTACGAGTGCAGTGCATATTTGGTTTTACGAGGATCCCCCGCGTTTCCCCTGTAGCTTCCACATCAACTTAATGATACTGGGTGCTCTACCGGTACTTTTGTAGACCCCTAGCTGATTGGTTCAGCCCATTGCTCCAGTATGGCGAGCAGCGGTTTTGCAGCCCCGTTAGGACCGCGCGGGCGAGACACAGCCCACAGAAAGGTATTTAAGTCTTTCATTCCCTTCTTAGACCTTTCTTTGGGCCCCTGCCGAATTTTGCGCTCCTGTTCGTCGATATTTGAATTGAACCCCCGCTTCCCCTCTCCCTCCATCTCTTCCTAACATTCTCGAGAATTATATCATTGAAGCTGCTTGGCTTTTTTTCCTTCCACACTTCTTAATTCTAACTGGTATTATTACACCCCTGTGTTCTTTTTTCGTTCAGTCGTTCTTCCACGATTGGTTCCTGTTTGCTTTTCGCCCTCGTTGTTGCCTTTACAGCCTTTTTTTTCTTCTTTCGCGATTTAGCGGCTGTATTGGAAGAAGGTGCATCTCTTTCCGCCACCCTTAGGGTTTACCACTGACTCTGCTTTTCAGCCCTAGTCCCACAGGGGGTCCCAATTTCTCACAAGCGCTCCTAGGAGGTTAGAGGGAGAGAATAAGCTATAGTCAAAAGGGCACCCTCTTTTCCCCCTTACCGAAAGCCCTTATCAAACCGTTCCCTGCAAAAGTGCATACAAAAAAAGAGACCAAAATTTTGGTTCCCGAACCTCTTTACTTTTACATCATTTGTTCATACGGCCATTTCACCCATACGTCATCATATACAATCATTAATCCCTCTCGCATTTTATCTCGTTCAGTTCCCGTGCCTGAATCAGAATGTTTCCCGCGTTATCCCCATTACCGGCAGCAGCGACTACCGCGTCAATCCTCCTATTACTATTCCCCTTGATGACGGCGGCAGAATGCGAATGTGGCTATATGCTCAAGCAAACTCATACATTCTTCACTCACAAGATGCATACTGATTTCTCCGCAATCCCGGACACGACGAACGTCACCACCGTACTGCCAGATTGGGATGTCCAGACGTGGGCGTTCGACGCGGACCCGAGCACTGGTGTAATTGCTAGACAGAACGAAGCGGAGAACGTGTGGATTAAGGACGGGAAACTGCACCTGCGGCAGAAGGGGTACAAGAAGGGCGACAAAGGGCCTGTTAGCGTTGCTGAGATACATAGCAAACGGACGGACTTCAATCACGGGAGTTTTAGGGCCAAGTATCAGGTTACTGTGGATAAGAAGGCGGATGGGGGAGCTGTTGCTGGATTCTTTTTCTACTATGTATGTTTTCATTTGCTTTTTTTATACACTCAATGCTTCATTATCAACTGGTTGTAACCCCGCGGGTAATCGGAGCTGTGCTAACTTACTTGACTTAGGACGATGATGACGAGACAGATATAGAGATCTTGACCAAAGATGGCGACAAGGCTATTCGCTACACTCAACACCCTGGTATGAAGCCTTGCGTCAATTCCTAACCTTGCAATTAGTTTCCATAAGCTAAATGAAATAAACACATAAGCGTACGACAATGTCACCGACAGCGCCATCCCGGATGCAACCTTCCAGCTCAAGCTCAAGAAATCATGGACAAAAATGCAAGAGCACCGCTTCGACTGGACATCATCCGTAACAACCTTTTTCCAGGATAACTCCGTAATGAAGGAAATGACCAAGAACGTTCCCAAACATGTTCGTACCCATCCCATCTCACATAATCACTAACCCCGTCTCTATTACCAATTGATTCAATCTAACAACCCTCTCCCATTTAGGAAGGCAAAGCCATGATCAATCTCTGGGCCAACAACGGCAGCTGGAGCGGGTACTAATTCCCTCTCCTCCTTTCATTCAAACAAAAACTGACGAAGCAACCACATCACAGCCCCCCATCAACCAATGACGTAGAAATGAAAATGGAGTACATACTGATATACTTCAACACCAGCGCCTCTCAGTCCGGCAACGATGAGGACTTCAACTCGGTTTGCAAAGGGGCTGGCGGGCCAAAGAACGGGACCGTCTGCTGGATCAATGACAAATCCGGCGTCGATAGCGAGGACTCGAAAGTCACGCTCTCTTCTGCAGACTCCATCTTGCGGTCGCAGAACTTGGTCCTCGTTGCCGGAGTGGGTCTGGCGGCGATGTTGCTGGTTTGGACATAGTACCTTCTCTTCAGATCCCCCTTTTTTTGTTTTTATTTCTACGTACATTTTCATTTTAGATTGCCCTGATTACGAGAAGAAAAGAAAAGAGGAAACGCGGGGAGGAGGCTTTCCCCCTCCTATCATACCGGTAACTCTATGTATTTTAATTTGATAACGTTATTCTTGCGAGTGTCTTGAGGAACACACTTTCCTTCACTGTTCCGCACAATGTACATTAGTCCAACCCCAGCCCATTAGCGTGTATTCATCAGCTGTCGAGATAGCTATTAGGATGTTGCTAGCGCCTTCTAAGGTGTCCTTTTAGCTTTACTACCGGTATCCGTCCACTGGCACTGACACTTTCTCTCCCGGTGACATCTACAGTATCAAACCGGCACGATATTATTTGCTTGTATTCGCCTACACCATCACCGGTATTATCGACAAACTAAGATTAGCCTTCCCGTCGACTCGCTACAAAAGCAAGTTACTCGTAAAAAAATAAAAATAAACAGTTGAACCCCACCAAATCTCTCCCCCTTCTTTCTTTCCAGAACAGGGTTGCTCCCCCTCTCTTGAAAAGAAAAAGAAATAAGAAAAAAAGAAATGAAAGAAAAAAAGAAATGATAGCCACCTTCGGCCCCTTTGTATTTTTCCGACAATGGCCGCCCACCCAATCGCCAGCTCGCGTGCTCAGATCAACAAACCCGCGCAACTCCGGCAACCGTTGGTTTGCATCTGTAGTAAATAAGCTGAACTAGTACCATATATAGTAAACCGCTAGCCAACCATGATATAGAGGATCTTGCAAAAATTTCCATCAGCCAATAACCGGTAGGATACCGAAACACCTCTCCCTCTCCCTCTCACTCACTCTCTTTATAAACAGAACAGAACAGAATAAAAAGAACATAAAAGAACAAAACTCTCCATCACCGGTTAAAGGCCAATAAATTGGCCCGGTTGGTCTAGTGGTATGATTGTCGCTTCGGGAGAAGTTCCCCCAATGAACGGAAAAAATCTTGGTATGTGACAGGTCTCCGGTTCGATCCCGGAATCGGGCCTTTGCTTTGCTTTTTTTTTTCTTTTTCTTTTTCTTTCCGGAAGATCGGCGGGGGGCGGGTCAGGGGTCACTGTTTGGTCCGTACCGGTACCTTGTGTGCGTGATCGGGTATGATCTTCGTGGGTGTCTCCTTAATGGTAAGGTGTGCCCGTGAAAGGATCGACAATCTACGGTACTCGGGTATATCATGAATTCATGGTACAGAGCAGGGATCAGATGTGAAACAGCAGTGGTACAGCGCTTGCAAGCGGGTACCATAATTTTGTCCAAATCAACGCACTTAGACAGAAATGGGGCTTAGCAGACATCAGAAAGCCGGATGATGGTTTGGGGAGAATGTACTGGTGCTCCACTACTTGTACAAGTACCGTGCAAGCTGGGCTATGGCACAAGTAAACAGCAGTGGTATCTGGCGGGTGTGTGCAACAGCCTGAATTTAAGATGTTTCGCAACCGGTGGCTTATCACCAACGCCACATCGGCTTGGAACACATCTTTTTTGAGTGTTCCAAAGTTGCCGTCTCGACCGAGGAATGACCACCCCTGCTCTGTACCATGAATTCATGGTATACCCGAGTACCATCCGTTAACGTATTGTACACTCCCGTTCGCAAAGTCCTTGGTCAAAGAAAAGTACTGTGGAAAAGCCCCGGCGGCCACCGATGTACTAATACAAGTGGTTTGATTTTGGATCCAACAATAACACCTCATAACCAGTCATTCAGGCTCCCAGAGGTCCAGTAATAGATAGGAAATATATCTAAATTTTGCAGCTACCAGTTAATATGAGTCCCGTATACCTTAACCACATCATCATAATTTGAGTTGCGAATGTATGGCAAATTCTTGTACTGGTACCTTGGTTGCCGCCAAGACTTTCTCACAGTACTTTTCTTTGAGCAAGGACTTTGCGAACGGGAGTGTACCTAGTTATGGGTCAACCCCTAGTAATGGGTCAGTTTCGGCATACTTGTAAAAACATTAAAAATTGCCACCACCCACTCAATATTTACTCTCCTGGCCTCAAACTTTATAAAATAAAAGCTTTTAATTGTCATATGATGTACAGAAAAAATAGTTTTGTAATAATACAAATTGCAGGATTGGGACCCTAAAGTGATAGTTCATGATCTAATCACTATTGTCCTCAGAATCAGATGATAAAAGTACCTGATAGTTAATCTTTTTGCATGAGGAGCGCTGGGGGCGGATGGTGCTTGGAGCCATGTTGTTGGAAATCAGATTTTCCTCCTAGAAAATGCAAGCTATTAGTTTCAAAATATGATAAAATAAGAGAATATCTACTTACTGATTCAGTAGACTCATCACAGTCCATCTCATCCTCCTCTGCATCTATGATCATCAGATTTTCAGCAGCCCTTGGCTGGGATCTAGGCTTTCTCCTGGAGGTGGCCGTTTGTGATTTGGTCTTCTGTTGCTGTCGTGAGATCTGCTTCTTTGCAGCCAAATCCTTTTTGTGCATATCATCACTCTCTCGCTTTTTATAAAGCCTAGAAAGAACTGAGGTATGAAGAATAAGGCCACCCTTAATCTGGCAGCAGTCAGTAGTACTGGGCTTGACAGCTTGGAGCCTTGTAATAGTTGCAGCATCAAGAACAGACTGGGCATTTGCCTTGCTACACAAGTTCAGAGCTTTATTAAAAAGTGCACGACTTGTATCATTGAATTCGAGTTGGCTGGCTTTCTCCCTAATCTTATCGAGTTCAGAGGGTGTTTCTGCACAGGTGGGAAGGGAACGGAGGCCAGAACGCTGTTTATTTATGAGTTTGACTGAGGAGTAGACATTTGAAGTCCAGACTGGCTCAAAACTCTCTGCCGATTGAATGGGATCATACCACTTGCCCTCCAAGCTGAAACAATATTCCTCTCACTCATCGCCTTTGCTCTTGACTTGTGGTATATTGGATAAAAGTCACCTTTATGTATTGCCCAATTGGGTCCATGATCGCAGAGAAAGTCTTCCAACTCCTTTCGATAACGGGTTCCCATAATGGAGAAGATTCCAATATCTATAGATTAAAGAACATGGGTTGTATGAGCAGGAAGACATATCAGGTGAATGTTCATCTTGATGCAGTGCTTAATGAATTCGATATTGTTCACATGAGAGCTGTATCCATCTAAAACCAGCATTTGATAATCCTTGATCCCATTTTCTGGCCTTGTCTTTAGTTCAAAGATGTTTACCAACCAGTCCAATATGATCTCCATTGTAGTGTATCCAGCTTTTGAGTAGGTAAAGTAGGCATCCATATTCTTCTCATAGTTGATATTACTATGATGTCCCATGAGGTGGGCATTCAAGGCGTGAATAATAAGAGGTGGAATTGACTTTCCACTGCCAGAAATGGCTTCTACAACTGTGACCCAAGACCGTTTTCCATCCTGCATGATCCTTGGATTCTTCCTACCTGTACAGCATAAGATTGTCCCACCATCTCCCAGCTCCATTGCAAATCCTTTCTCATTGGTATTCCAAGTGTTTTCCGGCTTGACATGATATTTGCAGCACATATTGTAGTAGCGATTGACTCATCAGCAAAAAAAAAAGTCTGTCTTTTGTGCTCCACGGTGAGCCATGTCGTTGAGTTTTACGTTTTGGCTAATCGCAAATGACCCCGGTTAATCATGATGCTTCCAATTGTGTCCCCTAATAATCAGATACTAATCTTAATTTTAGTAAAATATGAGCTATTTTTATCAATATCTCATAGACATTTTACATTACAAAGTTGTATGTTATGAACTCAAATTTTGCAACTTCGGTATGTAAAAAGTCCGTGAGTTCTTAATAAAAAATGCTCATATTTTGCAGAAAATAGAATTTATATCATCTTCTTTAGTCAAACTAACGGGATTTTTAATATCGCGATCATAGGACTCACGATATGCCAAAACGTAAAACTCAACGACATGAGGCACAGGGGGCAAGCTGTTTTTTTGCTGATGGAGGTGTTCCTTGAAGATTTCTGGATTAGTCGCAAGGGATCACTGCTTATCCAAGGTCTTTCCAACCTTGGATTGAATCTCTGGATGTCTTGTAATGAATCGATCGACCCAATGCTTCTCAATTTCTCCTGTTTTACCTTTCATCTTCTGCAACTGGTATACCATATTCAAAACATGTCTCCGATGGAGTGGGATCCCTCTATCATTATAGTTTTTGATCCTATCGATAATAATACTCTCTTCAATCTTGGTAAGTAGTTGCTGCTGCTCATGAGCCTCTGGGGCAGCTGTAGTCTTGTGTCGAAGGCGGTTTTGCAAGGTAGTATTAGAAAGACTGAAGAGTGTGGCAATTTTGTATACTGAGAGCTTAGAATGGTCAATTCTGTGCTGCAAAGTAGCTCAAATGATGCTCTCCTTATCAGCTTTCTTGCGAGCCATGAATGATCAAATTTGAATAACTTGTTGAAAATTCGTATGTTGTAGAAGTATTATATGGTGACTAAAATCTTTGAGGAAAATAAGCAAGATAGAATACAATAGCCTGTCTTAAATACTTGCTACCTTGACCTGATATTTTTCCTACATTAACCTGAGACCTATAGCCTAAGTGCTGGGTATTAATCCTTCTGAATTTCCCAACCCTGAACTCCAATATCAAGCATTTGTACCAGAGTGATATATGATGATTATGAGATGTCAAAGGTTTATTTTTAGATATTTTTGATTAATACTTTACAGTTACAAGTACTAGGTCTATAGCTTTTATTATATGAAATATTGGGTCCTAAGAGCAAAGGTTGAGTGGGTGGTGGCAATTTTTAATATTTTTACAAGTATGCCGAAACTGACCCATTACTAGGAGTTAACCTATAACTAGGTACAATACGTTAGACACTAGGAACCTCCCTTCTTTCCTTCCAGACGGGTTCCCTTGCGCGCTCCGAGTATATTCCACTAGTCTTCCAAATCTCAGGCTGGATGGATTGTTATGCGAGAAAGAAGCTTGATGTATGTACTCGTAGATACTGCTCAACACAGGACTACCAGTTGTCCGTTTGTCTCTGTAGAAAATTATCTAAGCACCTACCCGGATATCTATCTTACCATACCTCGATCCGTGCGCTGGGTTGGTTGGTAGTAGTGACCAGTATCTAAGCTAAGGGGATACCCTATAAGGCAATATAGATTAATCCATTATAGCTAGAACTAATCCTTTTAAGGCTCTTATTTTGACGCAATAGCAAGTTTCACCTCATTCCAACGTTACTAGCACATGGCTGGTTCTCACTAGTTTCTGCCGTACCGTAAAAACTCGTGATATCCACTAACTTATCTATGTAACTTTAGTAATGTATGGCTTTTAAAGCTTCAAGTTCTTGTATTTGAAAGTTGAAGAAAAATTGAATGAAAAATAACTCAAAGTAGATAGAAGATAGGGAAGTAACCTTACTAAGAACTAACAATATAAAGAAGATTTAAGAAGAGTGTAAGAGGATAAGGTGTTCTAAATCAAAGATTATAATATGAGCTTTCTGTAGAATGATGATAAATCACAAGGTTGTAACTGCACTGAAGACTTGAAGTCAAACTAAAAATGAAGATAAAGTTCAATATAAGAATCAAACAGTAAAACTTAATATCATTGGAACTAAAAGTTTTACTTAATTTAAGTTCTTTCTTGAAAATTATTGGTTGTTAGAGTAGAGTATTAATTGTATTATAGCCAAGTAGATATAATTATAAGCCAATAATACTTATCACTACTCTTATCTTCATAAGTACCTAACTTCTCTCAGCCTGAGAGTTACTACATCAGCAAAAAAACAGCTTGCCCCCTGTGCCTCATGTCGTTGAGTTTTACGTTTTGGCATATCGTGAGTCCTATGATCGCGATATTAAAAATCCCGTTAGTTTGACTAAAGAAGATGATATAAATTCTGTTTTCTGCAAAATATGAGCAATTTTTATTAAGAACTCACGGACTTTTTACATATCGAAGTTGCAAAATTTGAGTTCATAACATACAACTTTG